TGTTTGCCACTAAAAGAAATATGTATGAAAGTGTAATTAGAAGTTTTTCTTGATAAAAACTGAGTATAAGTCAGTCAAAAAACAATTTTTTATCTTACTGTTTATAGTTTAACAGATTTTTATAATTGGTTTTAAGTTGTTTTTATTCTGATAACAAAATGAGAAGAAAATATTACTAATGTGTTTAGTTAGTAAAATCAAGTCAATCACCGGTTGATTTTATGTTTTTCTTACTTTTTATGAGTTTTATATATTTTTTATAATTTTTTATATGTTTTTAGAGCTTTTTCAAATATGTAGATAGAGTAGAAAAACAAAGTAGAGTATAAGACTGTGAAGGGTGGAGAATCGCGTGATGTGAGTGTGTGTGCTGGATTCGCTAGGTTCAGGCGGTTAAAATGGTGGTCTAACCTTGTTAATAGCTCAAAAAATGAGTGAGCTACACTCTCTTGAAGTTTCTGGAAGGTCGATGGTCGAAAAACAGGTCCGAGGTGCAGTGCGGCTGCGGTATACACTCAAGCAAGCTCGCGCGGTGGTAATACGATCGACAGGGCTGTGAAAATCCGGGTGAATTAGATTTAAACTATGTATGAGTGGTAATACAACCTTAATTTATGTATGTATGCGTGTACAAACTGTAATCGGTGTTACCACACACCTCCGTACAAAAACTGTCAAGGGGTCCTTTTTCAAGGTCTTGCGCACAGACACTGAATAAACGGTAAGGTTTCGAGGTCTGGGAAAAAAATCTAGTAGAGTAAATCGATGCTTGCGCGTCGAATGGTGTACTCAGATTTTTTGTAAGTCCGCTCCTTCAGGGAGATCGCTAGCGAAAAGCGTCCTGAATCCACAAAAAAGGTAAGAAGAAGGGGAAAAGTTTCAGATTTTACTTCAGAATATTGTTTTGTAAGACAATTAAGATTTTTTGGTCAGAAAAAATTTCGAAAAAATAGAGTGAAACAATTGTGTAGCGTTGAAAAACAGTTATTTTTGGTGTTTTTAGAGATGTTTTACGCTATTGAGGTGAGAAGTAATGAGAGATATGTAAAGAGAAAAAAAAACTTTAGTCTGATAAGTCTAAAGCGTAGTGCGGGTTGCCAAAGCCAAAATCAGGAATAGTAGTGTATGTAGTAGTGTCTTCTATTAATTCAGACTCTAGGAAGTTAAAAGGGGGTACGTCAGGAGGGAGATTAAAAGAGGAAGGGTTTCTGTAGTATTCAGAAATGACAGATTTTACTTCTTCTAAATAGTCTGTGTAAGAGATAACAGTGTTGTCTGGCGCGTAAATAGCACTGGATAGAACTGCACTAGTAGTAGTAGTGGTACAAATCCAGTAAGTATCTCTATAAACTCTTTTAACTACTTTTCTAAGTTCTTGCTCTACAGTAATATTTTCAGGATGGTCCGTGTAATATCTTCTGGTTTCAGCCAGGAGGGAAGGATCTATGTTCTTGAAATAAATATTGATATCCTGCATTTACCTTTTAGCAGGCCATGATGAATAAAATAAAATAGAATGGTGTTAGTAAGTATGATTTTTTAATGGTAATGGGTGAAAAATCACGAGTAAAATGAGGCCAGACCCCCAATTGTCAGCCTCTATGCTACTAACCTGTAAGGGTTGTGCTCTGAGTGTTAACAAGTATGGTAAGTGGGAAGGTTTATTCGTGGTTAAATCCCTCAACCTGTAAAAGAAACAGGGAGGAGTCAGTGAGGAATGGTACTTCTACTGCTGACTCATCCAATTATTTAATTGGGCATCCAGATCAATCCTCTTGTATGGATTAATAGGCTTCCAAGATGAGGACTTCTTCAACTCACTTGGGATTAGTCTTTTAACAACAATCTAGATTAATAAGTGTATCAACACTTAAGGACCAGAATTGTTTAACCTGGGGGATAATTCTTTATGCAATAGAGATAAGTAGATATGCCTTGAATCTGAGCAAAGTAAATCTATTTAGGTCTAAGGTAGCTAAGTTGTAGGGTTATTGGTGGTTTGAATCACTAATAATCACGGTACACGAGTTGGTTTGATGCTACTAGAATTTCCTGGGGGGAAAAGGTAGGAATCAGGGCTCCTTAAATATTCTACAGGAGGCTCAGGGGAAGATGAGAGGCCCTCAGGGCACTAGGGAGCTTCTTAGCAGCTCTACAGTTTCGTGTAAGGATGGGAGCTGTAGCTGTGCAGTGCTATGCATGGGTGGAAGGTCCTAGGACATGAGATCATACATGCATAATTGAGTTTTGTGGCCTATTTCTCACGTAATTTAAAGGGCTACATTTACTGTGCAGGGGCTGTGCAATTGTAGAGTTGTTTGCATACGTGTAACTCTGCTTATGCAAGCTTGTGATCATGAGAAATGCATGTCCTTCATGCATAATTCAGTCTTGCATGTAGAATTTGGGCTCCTTTCCCGTGTAGGCTGCTTTGAATTATGCAAGCTTTGAATTAGAGCACAAAAGGGTCCTGATGACGCCATCCAAGAGGGTTATGATGAAATCTGATGCCCTGATGATGTGATCAAGGATGGGTAAGCTTCAGATAAATGTATATAGCTTATTCCTCATCCATTTCACGCTTCTACTAGCTGATTCTTTATACATATGTAATTATTTATGGCTTATAAAATATGTACATAATGTATAAGAATAAACATTGTTTTAATACTTTATTCTAATGATATTTCTGTGAAATCCTAGTGATATTATATGTACAATACTCAAGGGGATTTCACAGTTAATTATAGAATTATTAAATATAAATTATGAATTAAGATTAAATGTAAATACATATTTATTTATTTATTATTTTAACAACAATGTATACTATTTTCCAGTATTCAATTAATTATTATTATTGCAGTTACTAGGTACATTTCACGTACTGTGAAATGTGCTCTGTGGCTGACAATCGCGCTAACGCTACGCTAAACGTTAGCGCACGTTTTCGCCCCATGCGCGTAGCGTTAGCGCAAAAGAAGAAACAAGCGCTAACGCTACGCTAAATTGTAGCAAAAAATCGCTACACTACGCTACGCTAACGCTACGGTTAGCGTAGCTGGCCCACCGTTGATACCTTGCTTGTGTTCCAAATTCCAGATGAGAAAAAGAAATCTTGTTTTGCAGTTTCAACCACTGTGATCAAGAAAGTCCAAACATAAAAAGTGAAACAGACAAGTCTACTTAAAATAATTCTAGAAGAAACCTCAGGTAAGTAGCTAGAATTCTATTAGTAGATAACCAAGGGGCGGCTAATCATTGATCCCATCATGCAGACTTATTTGTACTAGTCAATAAGTACAAAGAAGAAGCACCATACCTAGCCAATCCCAAAGATAATGTGGTAAGCAGCTCAACAGAATCAAATAAAAAAAATTCAAGATAAGATTGGATGACTGAACTATGTATAATGAAATAAAGAGCACAGCAGTCTGATCTATTGAATCTCTTAATTCAGTGGAAAAAAATCCAGCTCACAAAAGGAACAACATAGATCTCATATCTTGCATTCTCAATTTTATCTCTCAGTCTTGAACTATCTATCTCAGGAGACAAACAGTCATTCTGCACTTGGGTATTGATTGATTGATTTACTTATTTCTTGTCTGCATAGTTTAGGATGTAAGAATACAGATGATATCTAATAGAGAAATAAATATCTTAGTGTTCTGAAACCTTTCAAATTCAACCCAAGTTCTAATTTTATCAGGGATCCTATTGTGGAACTCCGAATGGAGCTGGGCCATCAGAAATTACTGGAAGGGAAAGTGCTCTGGGGTGCTACCTTTGCGGTGGTTGAGGAGATTTCTGGGATTACTAAACAAACCAAAATAGTGGGGAGGGATTTGAAACAACAGGGCGTAGATTCCCAGTGGCAGTGGTTTGTTAATTTATATATCTTTGAAATGGATACTGGAACTTTCTTGAGAGGATTTTTGATTAAAGAAAAGCTAAGAGTGTGATCTAAAACAGTTGTTGGTTCAGCAAGATCAGCCCAACTGAAGATATGCAAATCCATGTTGCAGTAAGCCAATCCTGAAGCTCCAAGCACATCAAGAGCAACAAATCACAGGATACGAAAACCCCAGAAAGCTCTCCAAACCCTCAAACAACTCCAAACACCACTCATCCACTCAAGCACTGGTCACATGAAGAATAGAATCCCACCCACCCACCCAGACAGAAATCAAAAACCCTGAAACTTTCTCCCCTCCAAACCATTCTATTCTTCTTACACTTTTCTTTTTCCACACTCTTATCAATCCCCCTGATCCATGAAACAGTTTTTTCCTCCTATCAACGGTGGGCCGCTACACTAACCGTAGGGGTTAGTGTAGCGTAACGCAGCAGAATTCCCATTAGCACTAAGCGTAGCGTAGCGGAATTCCGCCACAACACCGCTAACGCTACGTGTGTGGGCTGCAAGAAAGGGCCCACTACGCTGTGTTACAGCGCTTTTTGGCCGCTTTTACCGCTAAAAGCACTGTAGCGCAGTGCAGCGTAGCAAAAATCCGCTACAAAAGTGCTAACACTACAATTTTTTGATGCAAAAAAAGCGCTGCTACGCTACGCTTTTTGGGCCAAAAGCATAGCAGCCCACCACTGCTCCTATCTTCTTCCATGGAATATTCTCCCCCTCATGTTTTTCATAAAAGTAATTTTTGGAGCATTTTTCCCATTGCTGTTTCCCTCTTTTCTCTCTGGATCAATGTTTTCTCTTGTTTCATTCTATTCATAGAATTTTCCACTTAAATTTTCCACTTATCTTCTAACCACAAGCTGGCCACTCCCCAGAGTTTTATATAAAAGGACCTTTGTTTTTTTCTTCATTTGTTACTCATCAGATCCTGCCCCAGAAATCCAGAGATCTGATCACCCATTATTAGCTAGGTATATGCCCATCAACATTTGGGATACCTTGATCTGTGAACAATAATTATTTAGAACAGTATTACATAAAAATAAGACATTAGGCATACCATTCTCAAAAAATCTCCATGGAAATACCTATTCTTCAAGAGTCCATACCCCTGTTCTTTACTTGTTGCCTTACTCAACCTAGCTCCCAGAGAGGCAGACCATTACAGCACCCTTCCCCCTCAAGCTCTATTCATCCCGAGAGTAGTTCCACAATGTGTGACTGAAATAAATTGAGTTCTAATGAAAACTTAATCTTTTATCAGATTTTGATGGATGATCTGGTCATCAGAAAAAGTCCTTGCTGCCCCATTGTTCAAGTTCAAACCAAGTGTGTTGATAAACAACTCCCCTCCCCCTCCCACCTGCCCACACCCCTGCCCCTCCAAAAGGTGTGGGGAGTAAGACCCACCCTTCTTTTGGGGCGGGATTTTCTCCACGCCCCTCTGTTTGCTGACATTTGCAACAAGAGGGGTGTGCAGTACAACTTGCCCAAGAAAAGTTGGGTTGGCCTACAGGCCACAGATTTAGGCCAGCTGACATGAGCAAAACACTCTGGATTGTTTTGATTGCATCAGCCCACCAATGGCCCATGGCCTGGAGGAAACCTCCCAGCATTCAAGGCCAGGTGGAATCCTCCCAGTCTTGAAGACCAGGAGGAATCCCTCCCGGCTTCAAGGCTTGAAAGGCCTTGAAGGACATGGGCTTTTATCCCAGTTGTCAAGTGCATTCTCAATTGTACAGTCTTGAAGACCAGAAGGAATCATTCCTGGCATTAAAAACTTTTTTGCAACCATACAGACTTGTGTGAGGGGATGGATTCCTCCCCGTCATCAAGACCATAAAGTCTTGACAACTGGTATGAATTCTCCTGGCCTTTGAGACTGTACAAGCCTTGAAAGCCGGGAGGAATCCCTCTGGTCCTCCAAGACTATGGGGTTTCAAAGGCCTGGAGGCTCCTGGTCTTTGAGACTGTAAAAGCCTCAAAGGCCGGGAGGTTTCCTCCTGGCCATCAAGGCCATTCAAGCCTCAAAGGCCTGGAGGTAAAGCTCCTGGCCCTCCAGGCCAGGTGTGCAGGCCAACCCACCCTTTCTTGGGGCATGTTTTACTGCACACCCCTCTTGTTGCAAATTTCAGCAAACAGAGGGGCATTAAACAAAGCCTGGCAAACCAAAGTTAAGCTCTGGGGTTGTGATATCATCAGGACAGGTCATCATACACCCTTGCACACTAAAACTGAAAGAGGAAGGAAATAAAACAACAAGCAAAGAGAAAAAATTCAAATCAAGATTAAAATAAACCAACATAACTGAGACTATGTTTTAGGACCATGAAACAAAAAATGGTGAGATGAACAAAACATAAAAAAAGAGTCAAACAGTAAGTGAGAAAGATAATAAAGAGAACAATAGAACAAAACAAACCTAAAACAAAACCAAAATGAATGGAACTAAGTGGTAAAATTGAGATTCTTGATTCTTGAAGGCATCCGTCTGATCTGGATACCGCCTACTGGACTAAACTAACCAACTGGAATTGCCGCATGCCCCCAGGGCCCCCAGTCTGGTCACCACACCGTGTCAATTTAATGATTCAATTAACTCCTCCCACTCGCTCGTGCTGAGTTTCCTGGTGCCGCCTTCTTCAATATGGTCCAAGGTACACCTGGGGATGTGGTGTGTCCTCAAGATGCATATGGCCGTATTTGTATTGTCCGAAATCAGTGCATTTCACCCTCCTTGGGTACATCGTCGCTCTTTGAGTGGTACGGTTGCTTCACAAGAAAACCCGTGTTGCCAACCTAAGTTGCAAGTAATTTTCATGACACACTCGGTTGTGCCTTTTTCGCGAGTCTCGATATAAGCACCTGTTTTGCATCGCGGGCACTCCATAACCCCTACAGACGATCCAAACATGATGCAGGAGAGTAGGATGCTTGAGTAGCTGAATGCGCGCATGATCTTCTGCGTCAAGATTTCTAATTAGATGTGTTAATCGAAGCAAACCCAGTAAATTTTTCCACTTACCGGGCAAAAAACCAGTAGAATTGCAGACTTGTTGAAGCAGGGAATAATTTATGATCGAACACTTCCAATGTTCTAACTTGTTGATGCTGTGGGTTTAGTTTGTGTTCTCAAATAAGTAGTTGTGAGGTATTGGAAGTTCAATTCTTACGGTTAAAGTTGGAGAGGGAAAAGTGAGTTAGTCTGGTGAGGGCCCTGGTGGCTAGTGAGAGTTGGGTGTGTCTTTAACGTCATGGCATGTACTGGTGGTCCTATTCAGGTTTAGAAAAAGATGTGATTAAACATGTATCAGATGACAGTGTCCACGTGGGTCTTAAAGCAACAGCAAGCACATATACTCCCTTATGCTCCCCTGGAAATGCAAAAAGTTTTTCCTATGGTGTCAAGAGCTACGTAAAGTTGTCAGTAAAAAAAGTTAAACATATGTAGCACTCGGATGGTCGAGCTTGATACTTTTGAATTTGATGCAAGAGGTTGTCATTTTTCTGAAAGATTTTTATTGTTGTCAGACAGTCTTCAAGAAGCACATGGTTCTGATATCTCCTAGTTCGTGTGCACCGCTTAGTGGTGTAAAACTGTGATGCTTGCACTCTTTCTTAGAATGTAGCAGCGCAACGCCCGGGGGCCTGGGGGCCGGGCGGACTATCAAAACTAGCTAAAATGTGATCAAACTTGGTCGGCGATGCCAGAAGCTACATATTCAAATCTCTCGGTAAAAATATTTTTTTTGCAGCATGCCCACGGATGATGGATGAGATGTATATTTGGATGAAAGACTAAAAAAGGTGATGATTATAATATCAACTCAGCTATGCACCTTCCTCGTTATGTTGAGTGATGCCGGAGGGAGCAGGGACGGGCTAAGGCGACGCCGCGGCCCCAGCCAGATCGGAGGGTTGCGGGAAGGCGCCCTCCCTTTGATTTCTAGTACTAGGAGCTTATTATTCTTTTCGGACAATCTCTAAAAGCTCACGTGGCGCTTCTTCAAACAATTTACTCACACGTTCCTGTTCAACTGTGATAGTTGCACTCTTCCTCGGCCTGCGGCGTTGCATCCATACTCCGCCCATCACATTCCCCTGGGCGGAGTATGGATCAAGATAGCTCAGACGACATCAATTCCTGGTTAAGGTCAAACATGGCGTCTTCATCTTCTTGTTTCTTTCTTTCAGACTCGCGTGGACATGAAGAGGTCTGTTAGTGAGTCACACCCTGCGTTTCGGGGGCGGCAGCTCGAGCCCGCTGAGAGGACTGACTTTGGCTTCAACCAACCTGCCACTTCCATTGGAGGCGTGGTTTGCTCTGGAGTCTTTTGCCCGTCAATCGCAAGCCTAGACAGGCTCATGACACAGCGCCAAAACTAGTCCATACTTCGAGAAGTTGAGCAGAGAAGCCCAATGGCAACACGGACTTTCAGATGGGGCAATCCTATCATCCTATGCCCAAAACGGAAAGTTTTTCAACTTAGTTTGAAGGCATTGAGCAGTTGCCTCAGAATCAGATCAATGTTTCAACTGGCTATTGTGTTGGCCCTCATCATTTTAATATTGAAGAATTGAACGGGTGAAGCAATGTGAATAAGAATGAGAATGAGATGGAAGCTACAAAAATGAAACTATCTTGACAAGAATAAAGCACTTGTTACTGAGAACAGAGATGAAGATTTGCAAATTGTAGAGTTATAATTGGAAAAGTAAACGCAACGATTTTAAACTTGTTTGATTGTATGATTTTAATCTGACAGTTTGTGGTATTGGGGGTGCGGTAGAAAGAGCAGAAAGCTATCTCTTTAGTGAGAAGTATTATGATTTACGGGTATATACAGGGGATCATGATTATTTTGGCGCGGACCACAAGTAGATATCATCATTTGTGCCCCGCACCAAAAAATTAAGTAATTGACCTATTGCAAATAAAATAACTCCAGGCGTCAATTAAATACCTGTCCCAAGAAAAATATTGCACTTTGTTTTCTTGTCTATGTATATCTATCCAGTAGGTGTCAAGACGCAGAAAATAAATAAGGGTGTGAGAACGAGTTATAGATGATGAAGTGGATTGAAGAAAGCAAGGTACTCGGCCCCTAAAAACGTACCTTGTTTGAGATTATAATCCGCTGAGTGGGTCCATGAGCTGTCGTGCAGTACTGGAGCTTTTGGCGTTGGGGGAAGTTGGTGTGACATGAGGGAACTGATCACATTTGGGGATCTGGATACCGGAGTCGCCTCGGAGACGGGCGACGCCGCCGATAGACGGTGCACTTGCTGACTTTTCACGCATAATTGGCATGGCGCCATTGGCCTTGCGTAAATCGCCCACAATTTGGCCCGACCACCCGGACGCACTGAGGAGCGCGATCGATCGCCCGTACGGCCAAAATTTGGTGAGCTCCGCTAATAATAGTGGGGCGGCCAACGCGAGCTGGAAAAACGTCCCGACTAGGATGAGACTCGATAAAGGATTCATCTTCTCTGCTGGACCAACTGGATTGGGCAGGGCTAACGTTTTCGATGCTCTTGCTAAGAATATTCCAGGCTTGAAATGGAGGGTATGGATAGGCGTTTGAATGGAAAAAGAGACATCCGCTGAGATTAGCAAGCTTTTAATGAAAGGGGAGAGGCGAGTATGGCCGTTGAGGAGTTCTTACTTCTCCCGCCCCGCATTCATACTCTGACTTCGCATTTTTCTGATCGAGGGAGTTGCTTCGGTATGTGTATGTACAGACAAACGTTTTCCAATGTTTAACGACTCTTTAAAACGTGCCACGAGGCGACAATTGGTTGCAAGTCAAAACTCTTCGTTTGCAGCGCGAAGGGGACCGGGTCGTTGCACCGGCGGCTGGTCTTCGTCCGGCTGCATTCAACGAGATAAAGGTTAAGTATGTGGTTGATTTCTATAGCTACATTGTAAGAACATTTGCTTTGATATTTACCATGATCCAGCCATCGCATCAGCTGGATCATAACAGTGGATTTATCCATCCAGCTGACAAGACCTCAAAAAGTGATCTGTTCAGACACTTACCCTTGAGTCTACTCTGAGTCAAGCTAACAATCTGAGGAGATTGGCCTAAATTCAAGTATAATTAGAATGACTCAATGGCCGTTCGGCTGTTTTTGTTCGCCTCTTGGGACCAAATTGATCATCTGGGGTTTATCCAGGATTTATGCTGGCATCCAGAGGACATCAACTTAACGAAGTGGGTCGATTGATCTTGTTGCCTTATCTTCCAAGTCGGATGGATCATGGAGTATTTTTGCTGGATGTTTTAAGTAATTATATATACATAAAACATTGTAACCTGTCTAATAATTCTAGAGCTACAGTCGACTGTCAAAACCACCAGGCCATTCATACCATTTATGTTATAAATTTGGTGATGGAAGTGAGCGAGTGAGAAGAAACTAGAAAGAAAAAAAATCGCGTCTTTGGCTTGGCATGATGATCCAATGAGAGAGTCGTCTGTGAAGAGCAGTTGTCACTTTTCATAATTAGAATTAAACGTTTGTTTTCACATTTGGTAGAATATTTTACGCATGAACTGGAGCGGATTAGATGATATATAATAAAAAGATAGACCTCGAACGTTGGAAATTTTGTTTGGGATGAAAAAGCGGGTGTCATCCTTGATTTGTTGATTCAAAAAACCTGACCGTTGCTATATTATGTCCTTCAAGTAGATGTGATCACAAAGAAAAGAAGCGGATGAGTGAAGTGTCAAGAGATATATAGTCTATAGACGATCAAATGGATCAAAGAACGCAAGATACTCACTTGCGGGAAAGAAACAGTAACGTACCTTATTTCCAGAAGAGTGCCAGATCAGAAATCATACATTGGATCAGTTTTTACATCGCCTGCTGATTTCGTAGCGATCGGCGCAGCAATGTCGGATGCGGGGACATGCCACTCGCTCGGATGAACGGCCGCATCCAATAAGGCGCCTGAGCGTCCGTTCGGCAAGTATTTGATCGCCAGTGGGATCTCAAGCAAGGGGGCGGACAAAGCAAGCTGAAAGAGCGACCCAAGGAGCATGAGACACGATAAGGACAGCATCTTCTTCTCTTGATGAGTTCGATTGAGTGGGTTAATTTTACTCGAAGCCTGTGCTCTAAAAGGATCTGACTCGGTGACTGGCAAGGTGTTAGGGTGATGTGGGAGCCAGCTTCGGTGACCCAGGCAAGTTCATATATGTATACCTCCACGGAGCGGAGTGGAAAGATAAACGACCCTTGACGAGAATCGAGAGAGCATCACCAGTACATATGCGCTCAAACGCTGGCAATAGGCCTGTGGGACGTGTCATAAGCCGAATTCGGTTGAAGTCCAGCAGCTTCGTGAGCATCAGAGCAGTGGTACAGAGCGGTACATCTTTATTCGCATCTGCGATTCTGCGTTCTTCCTCGCGTGATGACCGAATTTATCGAAACTTGGCCTCGTTCCATGCCTGTATCACTGCATCTAGATATGCTGTATTGTATGCTCCTAACCGGCGGCAGTAGGCCGAAGCACCTCAGACACGTCTCCAGCTGATACAATCGCTTGTTGCAGATTCGGTACGTTTTCGCATGTACAGTCTCCTCCCAGATGTTTATAGCCATCTGTTTTGAGCTCCACACCAGGAATTCATAAATTTCAAGTCACAAGAGTTGGTGGAATTGTGGAAAATGGGTCTCAAAGAATGAATATGAAAAAATAATAATGATAAACAAGATTATAAAATTTGTAAAAAGTAAAAAGGAGAAAATCACAAAAACTGACAGCTCTAATATTTCTTTCAGCAAAAGATAAAATCTCCAAAGTGATAGTATGAGATCTGGAATGAATAATAAGAAGTGAAAATTTGGAAAAAAATGACTACTTGGTGGTTCAAAAAGGGTGCCTAGGGGGTCATTCATCAAGAAATATGGCATTCTGGTACTGCAATCTACTGATTTGGACTGCAGGGTGTCCACCCACCATGCTCAAACTTTTTTTGAATCAATATTTTTCATTTATAATCATTCTTTTCATGTTCCAAACTATCCCTCTGTGTGTTCACTTTTCACTCAAACAAAAAATTAAAGTTTTCAAAAAAAGTTCATTTTCTGCTATCTTTTTCACAAATTTTGAAATCTTGATTTTTATTTTTATTTTTTCATATTCATTCTTTGAAACCCATTTTCTACCATTCCACAAACTTTTGTGACTTGGAGTTTTTGGGTTCCCGCTGTGGAGCTCAAAACAGATGGCTATAAACATCTGGGAGGAGACTGTACATAGCCCGACAAGTCCCTCAGCTCGCGGCGCGGGCTCACCTCCTAAGTTCGGCCCGAGCCCCATCATCACACCATGAGTCATCGGTATTGCGTCAACCAGCTGCTGGAATGCAAAAGTAGGTACATGTATATTTCAGCTCAGCCAAGAGCATGGAGTCGTAGACTTCAAAAATGATTGCAGAACTTGAAGCTCAAATTTGCATTGGGTCAGCTTTTGATGCCTGGGATGTTTCTTCTTATTTATCTATAAACAAAGATAAGTTCTGCCTATCACTATCAGTGTCAGACACTAAATAAACTCAATATGTTAACAAGACAAAAAATATCTAGCCTTGCACATCTTATATAGGAGACAAAGCTTTCCTGACCTTTCCTGACCAAAAATTTACTACCCAGAAAACCTCAAGTCACCTTATTGTTGCTGTCATTCAAAACAAATATTCTCATACCACAATTTGTCTAACCTCAGAAAATTTCTTTCAATTCCTCACACATATTAGGATGGGGGTCATGCTTGAACTTCAAAACCATTTTGAAGGTGTTTCTAATCAAAATTTTATTTTTTGTGATGTACAGAAATCTCAGATACCACTCAATCTGAAATAATAAAAGTATGCAAAACAATTTGCTCATGAACACCTTAAGAATGGCTCCAAATTTAAATTGTGAACACCCTATTAAACCAACCCATGCAGTGCTATTAAATCAAACACCCAGCCACCTGGCAACGTTATCCAAAATATTCAAGCCTATGCTTGTACTTGTAGATTCTGTTTGTAGAAGGCAGTATGGGTCAATTCCAACACCCTCTCTTATCCAATATGGAGGACTAAACAACAACAACAACAACAAAATATTGCTTACATTCAGACTGAATTTCATTGTGATAGAAGTGGCATAAATTCACAAGGTTCTGAATAGTGTGATTGCTTGCCGGTTTCAAAGAGCGGGAAATTAGTAGCCAAATTAGTTGAGGATTCATTGCTAGGGATCAGAAGGGTTGAATTTATAGACAAAATAGAAATAGAGGGAGCTCAAGTAAGATGGGAAGAGTCATGAGAGGAATAGTGATCAGTCTCATTGGATGAGACTTATTGGTACAAGTTATTTTCCGGACTAGTAAGAGTCTGGCTTGAGTTTGAGTAATATAATATCCATGAGTGATAAACAAGAGAGAGAATTTATCAAACAGCAATATTATTACAAGTATAGCCAAGAGTGGAAAGAGAGAATAAACAGACAGCCAAGAGCAGCTTTATAGAGACAGATACAAGAGACCAAGAGTGTTCAAGAAAGTATCAGAGTAGCCTGAAGTCCTTTACCTTTAACAGTTGGCCAGGCCAATTGCCTTAACTAAAAGCCATGGCTTCACAATGGATTAATTATGCTCTCATTCATATTTAAAAAGCCAATTGTGAGACCTCTTGCAATGGGACAATCACAAAAAAAACAACATCTGTGCAAAAGCAATCTCTTTGCATTCAGCACCAAATGCTTACCCATCAACCAATGTATGGAAAGCAGTGTTTGAATATTTGTGCTGCTTGCAATTGGTAGAGGTTTCACAATTGGGGGTTGCTCCTTTTGAGACATTTGGGTCAAAGAAAAAAAATTACAAGAGTGTTGGCTGCAACACTATGTCAGTGTAATAGGACAGTTCACATCTAGCATTTTAGGCAGCTGGATGATCAGCCACCAGTTTGCTGGTATTAAAATAGGCAGTAAAATTTATGAACAAATTTGGCCACATCAGCAGTGAACCAGCAGATGGAAACAGCATGATCATTAAACTTGGCTGGGATATCCCCACATTTTGAGAGAAAACAATAGTGACCAGCAACCAACAAGCAGGAGTTTTTTGGACAAGGTATCAATTTTATGTTCAAATTTTACCAAACCAGCAAAGCACCTGAGCAGCAAACTGGCTAAAAAGCCAGAAATGAACCGTCCTAATGCAAGGCTTATTGAAATATTGGTTCTTCTGATTCATTCTTATTCCATAAGCATATTCATTATCTTATACATACATAAAAGTATTGGTTGTGTTCCGAAACCTATTTGATGATCTAGTTCTCTGAGTTCGCTCACTTGTGCTGTTCTCTCTTTTCCTTCTTCAATCAAATTATTTCTTATCAAACTCTCACAACTCAATTCACTAAAACTAAAAGCTCAAACCTTTCACTACAGGTTAGTTATCATTTCCTTCTACTCATGTTAACTTGTCTCATCATTGTTTCATCAATTTCTTTAGGTTTGTTCTTTTATTCTTTGTTGGTCATATCAGTCATTGTAGTGATCTGATATCACCTACTTTATGAAGGTGTGTATAAGAAATTTAATCAAATTGTTTCTTACCAAACTCTCACAACTTGATTCACTAAAACTAAAAGCTCAAACCTTTCACTACAGGTTTGTTCTGTTATTCTTTGTTGGTCATATCATTCATCGTAGTGATCTGATATCACCAACTTTATAAAGCTCTTTGTTCAATAAGGCTGACATGACAGTCTTCATGTGTGGGCTTTTTCATCTTTTTGAGTTGTTGGTCTACAACATCAAAATATTTTTGTTACTGGGTGTTTTTTGACCTAATGGGTTTTTTCTGATGCTATGTAGCTCATTCTTAAAACCCTGGGTGTTCTGGCAAGAATTGGTGGTAGGTTGTGGTTGAGCTTGATGTTGAGTCTTTTTTGCTTGAACGGACCACCTTACGAGGCAAGGCTTTTCCTGCTTCCCAGTATATTTTGCTTTCATCATGTGTGCAACCTTCCAACAATCCACGGATGCACCGTTTGTTCTTGACAGTTGTTAACCGGCAATCATTGTTGGTACAGAGGTAGTACTTCTGTGTACGTTGTGCCCCACAAATCTTGGTTGCAGCAACGGTGCCACAGAGACGATACGATATGGTATCAGGCGTTTATCTGTATCGTCTCAGAATTGGAATACCCAAAAATACCGGATTTGTGTTGTCTCACTTTCCTGAGACATATACATGTATCGTATTTGAAAAGTGAGAAATGTATTCTGTATCGTCTCAGATGACTGATCCCACCAAAACCGTATTTGATACATAAGATACTTGGCTGTATTGAAGAAAAAACAAAAAAAACGAAGACGAATTTTTTTTTTCATTTTTAAATCCAAATCCAATACAATGTATTTTTTCACCAACCAAGGAAATACTGATACCGGTATCAGGCTCAAAATAAACACGATACGATCCGATACAAATACATGTCTCGTATCTGTGGCACCGTTGGTTGCAGATACGCGTGTATCACATTCTGCCAAGGGAGGATAGCTATGGATATAAATCTCATAAGCTTTTGATTTGCATTCATTGTTTGCACATGTGATGTCATTGGCCAGGATCTCAGAGAAGAGTGCTATGAAAATGACAGTGAGCACAAGTGCCTTGACCATCATTGAATTTTCAGGGGTTCTGGTTTGATTGGGAGGTTACAGGTGGGAATTGAACCTGTGTTCTATTGATAATCCTGAGATTAGGTTAACAGTGAGGTGAACACTGGGCAAGCAGTTAACCGTTACACTATGACAACGGGTGATTAGCTTCTTGATTGGTTATACTTAAACCACCAGCACTTTTGGATTCGTCATGATAAACTGAATGAAAGACCAGCTAAACAACACCTGGAAGATTGAATGAAAGAGACACCAGTTAGTTTTGAATAACAACTCCCAAGGATTTCCCAAACAGTCCACAGATACAGAATTCTATCTACAGATACTCAACTGACTTTGTGAGCTTTTCATGCCTGATTGTGTAGGTCTTTAGTTCATCAGGCAAATGGGGATTGAGAGTTGCAAACCTGGGTGCATACACAAAATCACCAGAATGAGCAACCTCAGGTTGCATAAGACCCTTTTGCAGTAATGGATTCATAGCCAGTCAATCAGTGGTCACAATTTAGAGGAAATCTTACTTTGATTAATCATACATCTCCTAGTCAACTGGATTACAAGCAATGATTGGGTATTCCAGAGGGAAAAATAAAAATAAAAGGGACTTGATCAACCAACTCCCAAATATTGGAGAGTCAACTCCCAAACCCGGGTTTCCCTGAAATTTGGGAGTCAATTCCCCAAACCCATCAGTGGGTTTGGGAGTTGGCCCCCAAAAAAATTTAAATAAAAAAAAGAAAAACCCCGGTGGGGTTTGGGTGTTGATGCCAGAACTAAAAAAACCGACGGCCAGGAGGATTCCTCCCAGCTGTGGAGAGTGCTCTTGACGGCCGAGAGAATTTCTCTCAGCCGTCAAGGGTCCACAACCTCAATGACTGAGAGAAACCCTCTTGGCCATTGAGTATAACCCTCAACAGCCAAGAGGATTTCTCTGGGCGGTCAAGGGTGTACACCTCAATGGCTGATGGAAACTTCTTGGCCGTCAAGACCTCAACAGCCAAGAGAAACCTCTCAGCCGTTGAGGGTGTACCCCTCAATGGCCGAGTGAAACCTCTCTTTACTCTTGGTTGTTGAGAATGTATACCCTCCACGGCCAAGAGTTTACCTCCTGGTTGTTGAGGGATTCCTCCCAGCTGTTGTGGGTATATACCCTCAATGGCTGAGAGTGTACCTCTTGGTTGTCAAGGCAATGATGGGTCAGCTAGGCTAACCGTAGCGTTAGCGTGGTGTAGCGCAGCAAAAATGTGCTACATTGTAGCGTAGCATTAGCGGAAAATCCACATTTCTGCACTAACACTACACGCAAAGGGCACAAGAGTGTGTTAGCTGTTAGCGTAGCGTTAGCGCAGAAAGTTGGAATTGTGCTAACGCTACGCGCTCAGGGCACAAAAAGGTGCCCGCTAAGGTGTGCTACAGCGCTTTTTAGTGTTTTCTTTGTAACACTACCCAGAAAAAAGCTGCCTGTTAGTGGCACTACAGTGTAGTGTAGCGTAGTGGCGGTAGTGGCATGCTAACACTACATAAAAAAGGCCCTTTTTAGCACCGCTACGCTAACACTAAGTGACCCTTTAGCGTAGTGTAGTTTAGCGCCCACCGTTGGTCAAGGTGTACACCCTTGATGGCCGAGAGGATTTCTCTCGGCCGTTGAGGTGTACACCCTTGATGGCTGAGAGGTTTCTTTTGGCCGTTGAGGGTTATACCCTCAACGCCTGAGAGAAATTGTCTCAGCCGTCCAAAGGGCACTCTCTGCGGCCGAGAGGAATCCTCCCGGCCACTGGTTTTTTTTATATCACCAACCCCCCAAAACGGCATCAGCACCCAACCCCTCCGGGGTTTTTCTTTTTTATTTATTTGAATTTTTTTGAGGGCCGACTCCCAAACCCACTGACGGGTTTGGGGAATTGACTCCCAAATTTTGGGAAAACCTGGGTTTGGGAGTCAACTCTCCAATATTTGGGAGTCGGTTGGCCAAGTCCCAAATAAAAATTGATCTAATTTCTCACAAGCTTATCTCTTGCCAAGTATGTGACATTCTGGAAGCAGGGAGGGCCACAGTTGCCCCATTTCCTCTTTGAACTAGATTCAAAATGTCCTGCTGTCTAGTTCTTGAAGGCAGGGCACAAGTTTGGAAGTGTGTGGAAAGATTGGCATGAACAACTAGCTTTGATGGTGAACATTGTGATAGTCTTTGTTTTTGACATTCAACTATTAAAATTTCTTTATCTTTGATGAGGCTTAAGTTTACTTATTGAAGCCAAAAGAGTGCTTCTTGGTGGCAAGCCTTGGAGACACAAGGAAACAAAACTTTGGATGTATGTACATGTTTACATCTCAGCCCACCAGGGTTGGTGAGCCCAGTGGTCATAAGGCAGGCACTTGTCATATTTGGGAGAGAAGGGCAACAGCTACTCTAGGCCTATCTGAAAGTCTAACGAGATGCATTCTCAGAAGGATGTAATAGGACCCAGGCAACCCCCTATAGAGGTGCCTAACCAAAAAACCGAGATTTTCCGAAAATTCCTACATTTTCTGAAGCGATTCATACCTTTTTCATGCCTAGGCTTGGGTTTTAGCCGAAAAATTCCTACAAATTTCGTGTGTACCCTTTTTTTTGCCTGAAGCCTCAATGCCGGTCTTGTGCCGGCTACTAGACCCCTGCAGCACTGCGAAATGGTTCTGGTGCCATTATAAATGAAAAAGTGAAACATTTATATGGTTATCACTCTTGTATCATTGCAAAACTAAGATTATTTACAAGTGTGCCTCTACTTCAATTGCGCTGAGTCATACATATGAGGTCCTCATAGTCATAGATCTAATCGCTTTGAGTTGCAAGCATGAGATCTTTTTTACTTTTTGATTTGATTGCTTTGAGTTGTAAGAACTCTTTTTCCCAGTGTTCTAAGAACACATTTTGAGACATTGTAAGACGAAGTGGGTGTAAGGGTTTGGCAAAAAAATCCTGCTGGCTATCCCTCATACAATTTTGGTTAGTACCCCCCCTGCCCCAGTAAAATATTTATACATTTTACGTTAGTACCATTTTGGCCAAAAAAGCCCATCCATACATTTTTCGTAATTAGTAACATTTTCGAAATTTGCGCGAAAATTCCTACATTTTGGTTAGGCACCTCTACAGGGGGTTGCCTGGGTCCTGATGTAATCATGCTAGGACACGTTTTGGAGGACAAACCACCCATCCTACTACCTCAACTTCAAGGCTCATCATTATCCTCACTGAGGGCTGACTTCTGCACCCCCAACAATACACAATGCTCTAATTGATGCGTAAGACAGGACATTTGGTTTTCAGGCATCAGAGGAATGGCCATCTTAGCAAGGTTACATTGATGGACAATTCCAGTGGTAGATCAAAAAAAAAAAAAAACGCCAGAGATGCACTAGTACAACACTTAGATCGCATAATAGAGAGTAAAATATTATTCAGAGCATCAAAATTTCTTTTTTATTTTTCATTTGAGATAAAAGCAAGCGAAATGGAGGGAACAGGTCAGAGTCTCATGGCGGTTTAGCGGCCAGAAAAAACGAGTCCCAGTTGACTTTTAAGGTTTTTTGGTCTGAGACCCGACTCGAAGAGGAGGCGGGTAGATTTTTCAACTTTGAGGATTCAATGAGCGGGTCCTTGGGGCGTGGTGGACCGTCAGTCTTTTGAGGCTTTGCTTTGGGCTGAGGAGGAGGATGATTACGGGGGCGAGGCTGCAGTGGAGGAGAATAGTTTTCTTTGGGGTCTGGCTCATCGATCAACTGAGTTTCATCCTCGTTATCTTGATTATCGTCGATCTGGGGCTCTGAACGAGATTGAAGATGTGGTACATGACTAGTAATAGGCTTAGTTGGGGGTGGAGGCCGGAACCGTTCCAAGGCCGGTGTGTCGAATGAATTGGACTGCTTTGATTTATTGATCAGAGGACTGTTGAACGGTCTTGTTTCAAAGCCCGTCATTTTTCGTCTCGAAGCAGAAGGGATGGGGGTCGAGGGAGTAATAGGGTCAGAGAGCTGAGAGGTCTGTGGACTTGAGCCTGGTTTCGGGCGCTTCGAGAATTGCTGGATGGTTTGGTCCAGGTACTCCATCTTTCGTTTATGGAGATCTTGACGTGCTTTGGTGTTCAACGGTGGAAGGAGTGGTACGTTCTGATCAACAGGAAGGCCGGATTCGGGATAGGTTGAGTAAAAAAACAGCAATCAGGCACTGTCCCTCTATGAGAATGGTTCCAAATAGACAGTCAAGCAAACCTCAGTTTCAACCTTGACTAAATCAACTATTCGAGCCATATACGATGATGGCCTTAGTTCACTGTCTTCAACCGGGTCAAATTCGATTTGCTCGTCTTCATCCAGACTGAATTTAGGATGAACTTTCATGTAATTCAATCGATCCGGATTACTTTCAGGTTGAGCTCGACTGGTCGAGATTTTGATGAAACTTTCGGCCAACGTATGTCCATCTTCGGATATCAAGTAAACCTTCGAGTTCACCTTTTTGAGATATAGAGGTACATAAAACAGGGGGGAAACAGCCCAGTCAATTTCTCTCTGCGTTTGGCTTTCATCTGATGGTGATCAGGAGACCTGAATCGTCCAACTGACGTGTCGCATCCTTACGAATCCTGAGCAATAACGATAGCAAGGTTTTCAATTCGTTAATCTGGACTCGCGAACGTGGTATAATCGGTCCTTACATACCATCATGCCAAACTTTCCTGTGTTTCTGGAGATCTGTAGTATACATACACGAGTATTTTTTCTAATCCAATCCCATAGTTAAATTGATTATTCGAGCACATTCCCGGCGGTCCCAAGGGCGGTTTTTTCATTTGCAAAAATAATATATCGATGTTAACTCTCTGATGGGCAAGGTCCAAGAGTCTAAGGAAGTAAAAAAGTTCAAGAACTGACAACGACAACCGACCGAGTAGAGCTTAGGGTCGAATTCTGTCCAGCTGGAGACTTGTTGCGATCGGGCATGTCTTTGAGGCCTGCAAGTGAGGTTGTGGAAGCTTGAGAGTTCTGCGAGATTTGTAGTGCATCCGATTTGGCTTGCACTGCCCACCCAGCTCAAGTGGGCACTACGAAGGGACGAGAGAGTCGGATCTCTACTGATCCGATCCGATCAGCCCTACCTCATGCTACCCCGAAAGTTCGGACCAATTGAAGCCTTGATGCAGAGCCAAATGATACATAGACCTGCTTAGCAAGAGGTCTGTTGAGTTTTCAACTCTCTGGCTACTCTTTCCCCTAATTTTCCTCCTTTTTTCCTTTCTTAAATCATCTTGAACTAGACTGAACTATAGTCAATCAAAGCTGTTTTCTGTGTTGAATCTTATGCTCACTTGTAGTCTAATTAGAACTCCTCATGGCAATTTTCATCTAACAACTCTAGTCTTGTTGATTGATTTCTTTCTTTTTCTAGTTCATTATTTGATTCTTAAAATCTGATTGTCTAGAATTAACGACTCTAAACATTTGTGATGGAGAGTATGTTTTGTCATGATTAATTTTACTAGCTTGTCTAAAAGAGACTGAGAAGACTTGTGAGGTTATTTCTTCCATGAACTCATATTTTTCCTTCTCTCAGTTTTTATTCAAAATCATCTTTTATTCAATTTCTCTCAACCACATTTTCAACCTTTTGTATTTAGTCTATTTAAAACAGGCTAGCTACAAGAAATAAAATTCATTGGTTCTTTCATTCATTTTTCCGTGAGCCTTTCCCAAAAAAGACACTCATCCTTTTTTGAGCCCTTTTTCTCAAACTCCTCAAAAATTCTTCCCTTCTCGAGCTCAGAATTTCAACAAGGTCTTACTGCTTGGCAAAAGGGTAGGCATCTTACCAAGGAGCTGGATAGCCTCCTCAACAATATTGTTAAGCAAGTTGATAACATCCTTGAAAAGAGGCAAGACTGTTGCCAAGGAGTTTGATAATCTGATTTTTGCGAGGCAAGACCCCTCTTCAAGCAAGTTATTAACCTCCTTGGAAAGAGGGCTTGCCTCTCAACTTTCCTCTTTCCAAGGAGGCTAATAAACTTCTTGGTGAGAGGTCTTGCCTCTTGCAAATTAGGCCAACAATCTGCTTGGCCAGAAGGCAAACAACTCCCACCCCTTTTGGGGGCGTTGAGAATAAAACTCCCAGGGGCCAGGATGGTCCTCCTGACATCCACCAACTTTGGGGATTTGACCTCCCATTTTTTGGGAGTTGTTTTTCCAACTCCCTTTGAAACCATCAAGCATTTTAATTTTCCAAAAAAAAAAAAAAAACAACAACAACAACAACAACAACATTGTGTAGCATCCTGTTCTTCCTTCTCTTCATTTTATTTGTATATCAACATATTTGTGACTTCCAGCAAAATCAATAATTTAATATTTTTCACAGATTTTACAAAAGAGTTTTCAAATTTTTGTTTTCATAATCAATTTTTGAACCCTGTTGACACTAATTTGTAAATACCCATGGCTTGAATTAAAGTATGAAGAATGGCAGAGGCCATGCAAGTTCTTTAAGAACTGATTATGGGTTGGATGAGATGATCACCAAGGTTAGTGAGAACAAAATGTAAGCAGACCTAGATCAACCAAGGAATGGTGAGTGATGAAGACACAAAATGAGCCAATGGTAATGAGATGAATCTTGAATAAGGAAAGAGGAAATTACAATCAAATGAGATGAGATGGTGACTAAATTTGACAACATAAGGTTTCAACTTCAATTATCATTATTTGAACAAATGTGAATCTCACATTCAGAAGTCACAATGGTTCAGCCAATGAGTATACTACATATGGTACTCCAATATGAATTCTGTTGCAATTATGGAATGCAAAACAATTTTTTCAAAATATTGGATGACCCACTGTATGTATGTACATACACTTTCCATTTGACACTTTTCAAACCTTCTACCACCAGGAAAAAAAAATGCTCACTAGATGGCAGGTGACATCATGTAACATTGATCACTGCTCCTCTGTAGCTCCAACTCTGCTGCAACCCAAATACAATGGACCCTTTGTGTGGTAAAGGGTGCTGAGGCAGAGTTGAGATGGGTATGTGGATGCTGAATTTATGCTGATTTCACTTGACATCAAGTGATCATTGTTTTTTCCTGGCATAATGATTTATGTATTATGTATCATGTATTCTATCATCAAGAATCTTCTTCACAGGATTTTGGGTAGGCCAACTGGTTTTTGGGGCGGCCTTAGCTTTCTTAACTGCATAAAAAGGTCAGAAAACTGTGTGCAGTTTACATGTGATATTAAAAAGGCACCTTCGTAATATTGCGTGTCAACTACACACAATTGCCTGACTTTTCCTTGCAGAATTGGCTTTGTTTTTGCATAATTTGGTCTGAATGGCCTATGAAGCTCACACTTGTATTTTTTTTTCATATGATAAAAGATGGGAAAACAGCTGAAGATTTATAATGCTAAGACCAAAATCTTGAAATTGATGCTTTCCTGGCTTGACATGGGATTACAGTGCTTCCATATGCAAGAATATGCTTCATTTATGCTTCTATATGGTGACTCAATTAATCAAAATAAAGGACTGGTGTGGCTAAGTTGTCCCAAAAATTTCTACTGGGATTAATTTTGTCTATTGATTCAAGGATCTCTCCAATAAGAGGCTTTTTTGAGCTCACCTGGTACAAGTCTTTGTGTGGGCTACTTTTTACATTTTTTGTGTTTTTTGGTCAAAAAAAAACAAAAGATATTCTGCAGCGGTGGTTTCCAATTTGAACAGATTTTTCTGGTGGTGTCTTTTTACTCGAGGAAGTAGTAGAATGTTTTACCGTCTATCATTTCTGATCGTATGGATGTTCCTTCAGAGGATGCTTCAGGGGGTTCAGCTTCATGATTGGAAGGTGTACTTGATTCATCATATATGAACTTGTTCTCATGGGTGCAGCCTTCCTGTTTACCAAGCAGACATCTCTTGTTTCTGATAGTTATTTTTTGGCATGATTCATTGGTGCATAGGTAGTACATCTTTGATCTTTCTTCCTTACAGAGCTTGCCATCTGGTGAGAGATAACCACATTTCCCTGTCACAGGGTAGTCTGCTCTCCAGACCTCCCAAGCCCTTGATTTACATTTTGCACAAGGAACATCACTGGCCAGGCTTGCCGGGATGAAGGCCATGAAAATGGCAAGCATAATGATGATACTGGGGTTCATGACAAATCAAATGGGCCAGAGGAGGTTGATGTGGGAATTGAACTGGTGTTGCACTGATTTTCTTGGGGTAAAGTGAACAATAGAGGCCCTTAAACCATTAAGTTATGGTGGTGGGTCTCAAATATTTCTCATGGTCTGTATCAAACTGAGGGGCAGCAACCCACCAAGGTCACATTGGGGGGTATCAAATATAACAAATCCACCATTAGAAACCATTCAATTATCCAAAAATATCTTTTTTTCATCAATGGCAGCAATGGGACACTAAGATACACCATGCTAAATGGTCCACTAACACAATGGTGGGCCGCTACACTAACCGTAGCGGTTAGTGTAGCGTAACGCAGCGGAATTCCCGTTAGCGTTAAGCGTAGCGTAGCGGAATTCCGCCACGACACCGCTAACGCTACGCGTGTGGGCCACAAAAAAGGGCCCACTACGCTGCACTACAGCCGTTTTTAGCGGTTTTTAGCCGCTTTTTCCGCTAAAAGCGCTGTAGCGCAGCGTAGCTTAGCGAAAATGCGCTACAAAAGCGCTAACACTACGAAAATTTGGCGCAAAAAAAGCGCCGCTACGCTACGCTTTTTGGGCCAAAAGCGTAGCGTAGCGTAGCGGCCCACCGCTGACTAACATTAGTGTAGCGGCCCTCAAAACAGCACACCAACAATGTAGTGTGAGTGTTCTGTTAGTCCCACTATGCTGTCTTTTAGCAGCAAAAACAACCAAAAAGCGCTAAAATGCACTACAGTGTAGAGATCGCTTGTTTGTACTTGGGTACCTGTTGGTACCTAGGTACCTGTTCATTTTTTTAAGAAAATAGGTACCATGTACCGCACCTGGCACCACCCGGCGGGTACTGGAGGTACTTTTTTTTTGGGGGGGGGTACCACAGGTACCTCCCCTCTCTTCCTCACTTAGTTTGACTGCAAGGTTCATTACAATCCTTTTGAATCTTGTTTCAGATTTTTTGGATTTTTTGTGACTATCATTTTATTCTAAAAACATAAAAAAAAAAAAAAAGTCAAAAACAATTGATAGAATGAATCTCAAAAAAAACTGTTTGGAATTGCTGCCTTGAGTGGTTTCAAGAAAAAAGGGGAGAAGGGGGCCTTGAGGCTGGAGGGAACCCCCCCCCCCCCTCTCAACCCCAAGACTTGTGAAAAAGGGCATTCATCCGCAAAAAAGAAGACAATGTAGTCAAGATTCAACAGCCTTCAAAAAGAAATTGTGTCTATAGCCCAGGAGACCCCAAATTTGATAGAGAGCTTGTGAAGGAGAAGCCAGCTGAGGAGGAACAAAGGCCAGGGGATCCGCCAGGAATCAGGGCCGGTTTGTTGGAGCTGCAGGTGGTGGTGGACAGCCTTCCAGAGCTTTTCCCAGGCAAGATTCCTGAGGATATGATTGGCAGAGACGACAGGGGAGACCGGATGGTCGGAGGAGGAAGACGATTAAGATGATCTGGATGATCTTTGGGCCAAGACTTAAGACGTTGGGGAGCGCAAACCGGCCCTCGCCCTTGGGAGAAATGACGATTGTACCTTGGTTGACCAAGGCTTGGATGGCCCAAGTGACCATTGCCTGGCTTGTGCTCAGTCTTCTCCGCAACAAACAAGGGTTATCACCGTTGGTTAGCAATATTGATTGCTCTTGGGTCAGTTGGCTGATCAGTTTCTCGGTGAACTTTCACATTTCGGATCAGAGACTAGAGTGGTGATCATCCTCCTGATCCTCAGCCAAGAGATCCTCGATGGAAAAGTCTTCCAATACAATCGGCTCCAAGCAATACATCTTCTTCTTCAATTCATGATAGTTGAAGTTGCCCTTACTGGCGGTGTTAATATTATGCTGGTCGTATCGGGACACAATGTAATGGCTCACATAGTTCAGATAATTTGAGAACGTGATCTGCTGCAAAGTTAGTCTAGAAACTGGCAGCAACTTCAACTGTCTGGGTTCTTTCTCTTTCTCAACTGTTTGCTTAAAATTTACAAATGTTCCCATCATTGCCTCGCTGATTGGAAGGGTTTCCTTCCAATCAACAAGGTACCTCCTTGTTGACCGGAAGGAAACCCTTCCCGTCAACAAGGTACATCCTTGTCGACCGGAAGGAAACCCTTCCGGTCAACAAAAGGTACATCACCTTGCTGATTGGAAGGGTTTCCTTCCGATCAACGAGGCAATGTGGGGGTGGTACCCGTAGCGGTACCCGAGTACCGCCCGTTTTTTTTTTTTTTTCCAAAAACTGGCACCGCCTGGCGGGTGCGGGCGGTACCCGCCAAGTGGTGCTGCGTACCTAGCGGCGGGTACCGACAAACAATCTCTACTACAGTGTAGTGGGCCCTTTTTTGTGGCCTGCACATTTAGCATGAGTGCAGTTGTGGCGGAATTCTGCTGTGCTATGCTAAAGGGTAACACCATTCTGCTACATTATGCTGCTTAGAGATTTTTTTTTTTGTACTTGGGTAAAACTGTTCAACCTTTTAAGAAAATAGGTACCATGTACCGCACCTGGAACCGCCACTACTTTTGGCGGGTCCTGGCAGTAGTTTCCCTCTCTTTCTCAATCACTTTCACTTCCAGACTCCCAGGTCCTTTTTTCCATTTTTATTAGGGTGTCTCAAATATGGAAAATCCACCATGAGAAACCGGCCACTTTTCTCAAAAAGATTTCTTGCTTCAATGGGCCCCAAAAGGGGTTAAATGAAGAACCAACATGTTTACAAAAGGGTGAATTTTTTCAAACCATTCAATTAAATGATGGTGGATTTGGTTATATTTGATACCCGCTATTGTTGTGTTCCTGGCAGTATACCAAACTTACTTCATTTGCCCTCTTTAAACTAATTTAAAAATAAATCACATTCCGTTGCCTCTACAGTGCCCCCTCACCACCACCACTGCTCCACAGGATGTTCCAAAGTATTGGGTTTGAAAATTTGAGAAAACATTTCAAAACCCTGGGGGGGGAGGTTTCTTGGAGGCAGACTTCATTGTTCATCAATCAATGCTGTTGGAGGCAGATAGTCAAACAACTTGGTGAAGAATTTCCAGATGTTGGCATTGCCATACTTCCTGCAGCGATGGGCAGATACGTTACCCAAACAGATAACATTGACTGTAACGTAACCTTTACAGTTACGTTAACCACAAGTTACAGATATCTTTATTTCAGTTACGATATCTACTGGAGCAAAAGGCACCTTTTTTTTCTAGTTACGTTCCCAGAAATTGGAGGACTTCCCGTCGCCATTTAGAGTGCTTTTTAAGCCCTCCCCAGTCCTAATTTTACACCTCAATCATAATTCCAACCAGCTCACATGAGAGCTACAGCCAAACCGAGAAAGCTTGCGTCTCGGTTGGCGGAAGATTCAAAAAAAAAAAAAAAAAACCGACTGCAGTCGGAATTTTTGGAAGAATACAGCACCCTGTATGCCCATTTGCATACAGGGTTACTTCAGGGTAAAATCCCTATCTTTTTTCTCCCTCAGTTCCAGGTCATGAGAGTAAGACCATCGGGATCCTGAGGGAATGTTTAGTCAAACCGGCCCATTGACATGAAGGCCACCCATGCCCCTGCCCCCCTCGGGCTGGCTGGTTGGGTCCGGTGCGGTCCTGTCGCCGCTACCGGCAGGTATGTTGGAAGCTGTATGATGGCTGTATTCTTCCAAAGATTCCGACTGCAGTCGGGATTTTTTTTTTTTTTTCTGAATCTTCTGCCAACCGAGACGCAAGCTTTCTCGGTTTGGCTGTATCTTCCCAAGGCATATGAAAAAATATTTTTTTATATCAAAAATTAAGATCTTGGGGGTGTAAATCAAATTCTGGGAGGGTTGTAAACCGCGACGGGAAGTCATCCATTCTGAACAAAACAGGGTTACGTTACAGAATTTCCAATATTTGGATAACTTAAGGGTAACTTTGCTGGTGATACACTGATTATTGATGGTTTTGTTCATTAAGTGCGAGATAATTTGCCCAATATGATCATAAACCAACCAGAGATTATCATTTCACCAGTAAGCCAGGTCAAAAGATGTCTGGTGTGAGGATTGAACCCACAACCTCCACATATTCACTGTACATGTGAGGCACTCTTTGACCATTAACACCACGGTCATTTGGGTGTCGCCCCGGATGTAACCGTCACCTTGACGAATCCGCGTGCGTGACTGCGGCAGTAGGCGCAGTCACTGCGCACGAAACCCCCAATGAAACCCCCAGATGTCGCTCCGCGCGGGAGCGACATGCAATTGTCCGTGGTGTAAGCTATATGCAATATGTTTTAGCCCTTCAACCTCTCATAACACCCCTCCCCCCAAGTAAGTTACGTTACCCCAAAAAAATATATGGAAAAAATAAAATTGGTTACGTTACTTTACTTTACAAGCAAATTTAGTTACTTTACAAAAACAGCAGATTTGGATAACTAAAAAAAATTTACGTTCTCCAAATCCCCTGCTGTAACGTACCGTAACGTATCTGCCCACCGCTGCTTCCTGATGCACTTGTTGCAAAATCCATAGACTTGAGTGATCTGTCTAGACTCATGATTTCCATGCAAGATTTTAACGTCTCAATCGTGATATCTGACTTTCAATGCAACCCCAAGAGGGTCACTGTCTCCACCAAGTAATACCCTTGCAGATCTATGCAGTCTCCCATAGACAAATCTTTTGTGTCTGGAGCATTGCCTCTGAGCCAAAATAGTTCTGAGATGTTGTGCTGGGGATGATTGGTGTTATTGAGTTGATGAAGGATCAGACAGATTAAGCCAGACAACACACAGTCTTCTGCAATCGGAGGGATTCCTCACAGTCGTCGAGATTGTACAGTCTCATCAACTGGGAGGGATTCCTCCTGGTGTTCAAGACCATAAATTCTTGAAGGCCAGTAGGAATTCCTTCTTGCAAGACTCACATAAACCTAGTTTTCATTCTTTTTTTTTATATATATTTCTTGTTTCTATTTTTTTTTTCTTTCAAAAAAACAAAACAAAACAAAAACATAAGCAAAGGGAAGGGAAGGGAAAGAAGAATTGAAGAACCTTTGACCACACAAAACAACAACAATAAAAAATAAAAATGAAAAAAAAAACTGATGGAAAGTAAAAAAATGAAAATGAAAAAAGGAGAGATGGAAGAGATAAGGATGATAAATAGTTAAGAAATACAAGAAAAAAAATCATATCATATCAAATCAAATAAATGGGAAGATATATAAAAAGAGACAGAGTTTAAAAAAAAAAGATGGAGTAAGTGTAAAGCAAAGCAGATTGATTTGTAATTTTTTTTGAAGTTGCAAAACAAAAGAAGAGAAGATATAAATTTCAATAAATAATTAATATATAAAATGTGTGTGATGATGATGAATCCAAAATGCCATAATAATAGTTAAAAAAAAAAGAAAGAATGATCGAAAGAAAGGGGGAGAGGAGAGAGGGATGAGGTCAAGACCTACAGGAGAAGGGAATCCAAAGAAAGGAGGAGTAGAGATTCGAGGGAGAAGAGGGGGAGGGGCGGAGGAAGGTTTCGAGAGAAAGAGGAAGCAGCCTAAGGGGTCCAAATCTTGATAGACTGATCGACGCTCCCAGTGGCGATAACGGAGACGGGTCTAGCGGCGACGGACGAAAGCGAATTGAGGGGCTGGTTGGAGTCGGGATTAGTCGTCGGCGGGCCGCCGCCAGCCGAGGCTCTTCCCCAAGCCATCGAGGTGACAAAGTGTTCGTGGGCGTCGACGACTTTGACACATCTGCCGGTCCGTAGCTCCCATGCCCGGATCGTCTTGTCGTCCGAACTCGATAACAAGTGCCGCCCGTTCGGGTGGAAGACTAGTGCTCGAATCCAGTTGTCATGGCCCACCTACATAAACACACTCACTCATCAACTCTTCTTCTCTTTGTTCGCATCTTTAGAGCTTCAGAACGAACTAAAGTCTTGATGCATTGGCCACTATTACAATCCCATATCCGGATCGTCTTATCGCGCGAGCCGGTGGCAACAAAGACTGGATCGGGTTCCTTGATCTTCGAGTCCTGGTTTGTAGGCGACTTACAACCCCAACCAAATCATCAGGTATAACTAAGGGATCATACTCAGCTAATGTGAGGATGACGTCTTACTGGAATCCCTGCCATTTCTCGGATCGCCGCATTCGAAGCTGGGGGCGAAAAGAGCGCTATCTCGACCACATGCTCGTGCCCGCGAAACTCGATCTTCGATTCTCCTGTTGTCAAATCCCATATTCTTGCTGTCTTTTTAAAACCCCCAAAAAACCCCATTAATTCCAACCAATAAAATCATTCTAAAATAGCAGCAGGGCAAATAAGCTTACTTGATCATTTGATGCACTGACTAATAGTTTTCCGTGTGTCCATGGCCATACGCCTCTTACCCATTCAGTATGCCCGCGCAAAGTCTTAACACAAAACCTATACCCATACATATATGCCAAAAAAAAACTCCCTCATCAGAGTTGACCATCCGCGCATTTTAACCAATGTAACAGGGAAGACTGACGAAGTAGCGACTTCCCAAATCTTGATAGTTTGGTCACGACTGGCACTGACGATGTGGGTGTCTCCGGGAAGAAAGCGCGAACTCGAGACCGAATGGTCGTGGTCATATAGCGTCTTCGTGCATCGATAGTTGTTCATACAGTCCCATAACTTGATCGTTAGATCGGATGAACATGACACTTTTTGCATCCATCATAGTATTATTATTTTTTTTAAATCAGAATCAAATCCATAAACCCTTCCTATTTCCATTGTGTTTTTTTTTATATCAAAAAATAAGGGTACGAAGATTTAGAAGAGGAAAGGGAAGAAAAACAAAAGGGAACAAACCGAGGAAAGTTCCTTTACTATCATAATCCACATCACAGACGACTTTAGTATGACCTTTAAGAGTGAGTTCGAATTCGCCGGTTTCGTAATCCCAGACCTTGATTGTACAGTCCTCACTGGCCGAGGCGAGACTGGAGAAGGTAGGATGGAAGGCCAATGCGGTGATAGGAGATCGATGTCCAGTCTTCAAACACACCCAACCCCCTCAATTGTCAGAATCAGAAGATAGTAAAAGAGGGGAGAGATATGAGACTCTTACGAGTGTGTGGCGCGCTCCCCCGCCTCGGCCCGGTAACCAATCTTCTAGTTGTTGGCCTTTACGTGTAGACGAAATCGAGCCCACTGACGCCAACTCATCCTTCAACAATCCGTTCTCTCGTTCCAGATCCATTATCTGTTTTCGTCACCAAAATCAAACCCCCCCCATCCAGACCCTTGAGTATCTCTTTTTCAAACGAAATAATAGACGGTGTTTCTTCAAAGAGAGAGAGAGAGAGAGAGAGAGAGGACTTTTTTCTGCAACCGAATCACACTCGTCCATTTTTTCTCCAACAGGCCGGTCCATTTGGCCTTGGGATCAGGCTGGAAGTCTTGATGGGCAGGCAGCTCTGCCTTGAGTGCTTCGAAAGTCGATTGGAGTCCGTTTGATGAAAGATAATCCAACAAAGCTCGATGTCTGTTTTGTCCATACAAACCGCGCAAATAATCAACATTTCAGTGATGCTCATTACATATTATTTTTATTTATTTATTTATTTATTTTTTTTGATTCTTACAGTTCTTCCTTCTGTCGTTCGGAGAGGACCGATGTTAAGGGAGCCATTGACGATGATGAGAATGTGTGTGTGTGTATGTACAGACTATGGTTGACTGTTGAGTGTTGGTTGCTGGTATTGATGTGTGTGGTGTTGAAGTTGCAGATTGAAAAATGAAAGAAAGTGAAAATTGAAAGAGATGGTCAACAGAGAGAGAGAGAGAGAGAGAGAGAAGGTCAAGGAGGAGAGGGAGGAGACTCAAATGATTATGTAATCACTCACTTATCCACTCAGTCCAGCCACCACACCACCATCATCATCAGCATGTTCCCAGCTACTCCTCTTATCGGCAGATTGCGACCATCCACAAACAGACTCACACTCAGATCCATCAGGTGAAGTCAACGATTGATTGATCAAGAAAGACCGAAAAAAAAAATAACTAACCAAAACATTGTATATGTACATCTGCAGTCCAGTTCACCACCACCACCACCAACCGAAGACCGATCAGCACGCAAGATCAGGAGGAGGAGGAGGAGGAGGAAGAAGAATCAGGATGAGCTCGACAGTGACCGAGATCACCCGGCACCAACAATACCATTCAGCGGGGCTAGAGGAGCAAGACCTAGAGGGAGCGGAGCCGCTGGAGCTATTCAAGCGATGGTTCGAGGACGCCCAACGGTCCGGGCTGGTGGAGGAGCCTGAAGCGATGTGTCTTTCGACGGCGCTTCCGACGGGAGAAGTGTCGAGTCGGTTTGTGCTACTCAAGAAGATCGAGCCGGCCGCCGGGCTGGTCTTCTTCACCAACTACGACTCCCGAAAGGCCCAGGAAATTCGGCGAAACGCGCACGTCTCGGCGGCCTTCTATTGGGGCCCATTGCATCAACAGATCCGGATCTGTGGGAAGGCCGAGAAGATCCCCGAAGAGGAGTCCCAGAGATACTTCGACGGTCGGCCCTTGGGCTCCCGCATCGGCGCCTGGGCGTCCCCCCAATCATCCCCGCTCGAGTCCCGCGCCCACTTGCTCGATCTCGTCGCCAGTCACGAAGCCCGTTTCGAGCTCCAGCCCGGATCCATCGACCGTCACCCGCCCTCCCAACAAGACCTCCACACCCTCATCCCGCGTCCCGATTATTGGGGCGGATTCAGAATCATCCCTAACGAGATCGAGTTCTGGGTCGGCAGACCTAACCGCTTGCATGACCGATTCGTCTTCAAAAGGTCCTTGGACGGGCTGGCTCCTTCTTCCCCCTGGACCCGGCAACGCTTGGCTCCTTGATTCATCCTCTCTCTCTGTCTATTCCTCATACACAAGTAGAATTACATTCATGACTTCTACGACTGACTGTGTCTTAGATGTATCATATAGTGCAAATCCATCTACATATAAAGTAATTATCAAAACTAAAAAAGGGGAATGTGCAGGAGAAATCTGGGCATGTATGTGTTGGACATAGGACCGCACTGATGTTTCCAATCGGACAAGCACTCACATTGACCCACTCGAATTCCGACTCTTGTTCTCTCTCCAATCCTCGCAAAAAAAACAAAGCAACACCCACCTTCCCGTTATTCTGCTTGACTGTACATGAGGCTTTGCGCTTGTATATACTGCACAGAAGTTATTATGTTAACTTCCCCATACATTATAGGTTATTCTCGATCAATCTGAATAAGGAAACAAGACAAAAGAAGGAAAGAAAGGTTGATCGGATGTAGGATAATGATGATGATGATGATGAGAGCTACATGAACAGAAAGATGTTTCTGGCAATGAGAGACCTATGAAGCAGTCTAAGTCATGTATGACTATGACTGTGTGTGTGTGTGTGATGAACAGTGAGTCATCCAGCCAAAGAAGAGGAAGAAGAAGAAGAAAGGCAGGGATGGCTGCAGTGGAAGCCTAAGGTAACACTGGGCCAGATGTGGCCAGGTGCAGGAGAGAGCAGGACTCGTGTGGGACCAGCGTTCCCTTGTAAAGGTTGACGAAGACCTCCACACCTCCACCTCTTCTCTCTGTTCTCTTTTTTCTTTGGATGGAGTTGGAGCTCGGACACTCTCATACATTGCTTTCATAAGTCAACAGATCTGTTGTAGAGGCCTCTCTCTCTCTCGACGATCCTTTGAAATCTGTTTGTATGTGGGTGGATAAGCACTAGATCTATTTCGTTCTCTGAATACCCTTTCATAAATATAATCTAATGAACAACTTACAATAATAATAATGGTAATAATAATAATAATGGTAATAATGGTAATATGTGGGTACATGAGGGTTATGATTGGACACTAAATTGTTTCATGATCGTGCGGATAAGAAGGACGGTTGATCAATGGCGAATACGAAGACGAAGATGATCAGGGAAGGTTGGGGCATGAAGAACACACAAAACTTTATATACATGTTCGTTTCTTTTTTTCTTCTTTTTTTTGGTGTGAGAGAGAGAAGGGTCTTTTTTTTTAATCGATGTCCATGGACTCGGGTTGGAAAGAAGAAGAAGAAGGGGGAGGCAGGATCTCGGGGTCGAGTTCGACGATCCGCGGACCGAGATCATGATCGAATGGATGCACATCGACATCATCTTCTTGTTGTTCAGAAGGAGACGCAAGTCGAGTGATAGCAGTAGTGGTGGCAGAAGGATCGGAATGAGTGACCGGCCAACGAGGTTTGCGATAGAGCACCAACTGGTGTTCTTGATGGTCGTTTGATGGATGAGGGGGGAGGAAATGGTGAGAGGTGAAGAAGAAGGCGGGGTTCTGATGATAGTGTTTTTGTTGTGTGGAATGAAGATGTCTGGAGACTTGAGGATCCAATTTCAATGAGGATGAGGAAGAGGGAGGGATTTCGGCCGAGTCTTCGCCGTTTAAGGAAGGCGTTGGACTGGCGCTGCGGTCGGATAAGGAGTCGATGATGACCCGGTTGGGCTCGGGCTCATAGGCCGAATAGCGGGTGTTCATCTTGATCTCCTTGTTGTAATTAGCGCCTTTTGGGCCGGGACGACTGTCCACGCCTGGCCCCAACTGGCAGTCATCCCTCATATTCAAGGTGGAGTATGGTGCCGATGATTGTGCAAGACTGCAGCTGGGACTGAGCAGATCCTGATCCGATGATGACGGCCGCTTGAGAGAACTGGTTGGCGAGAGGGAGAGTCTCGAGAAGGCCCCAGTCGGCGACGTGCGTCTTCGCTTCGAAACTTCTTCTTCTTCTTCTTCTGTGATCGGATTGTAGTATGGCGCTCGCGAACGTTTGAGGACGGGGCGATGACGGTGCAAGTCTTTGAGACGCGGTGGGTCGAAGGAAGTCGGACTGGCCGAGTTCTCGAATAGTGACATGTTGTACTTATTATTCCTCTAGAGTGAGTGTGAGACAAAGCCGGAGCGCTTGGTCAGCTTCGGTTGAGGTTCGATAAACAGTTTTATGGAGAGCGGTTGGGTTGACCACACTCACCTGTTGAGGTTTGTTGCGGTTGTCGACTGGGCTGACTCGCAGTTGAGAGTATTATTGAGCTTGTTTTGAGTATTCGAGGCAGCTCTGGATGAGGATGTTAGATTTGAGGTTGGTCGATGAGACTTGTGATGACCATGGGATGTGGTTGTTTTATGAATTTAGGGGGGATTTATTGTAAAGAGAGGCCTGCAGGTTGATACTGGATCGACTTGATTCCATTCGAATCCGCTCGAACATTCCCTGGCCGCACTCAGTCAGCCACACTTTTCAGCTTCCCACTCGAACAATCCAGAACAACCAGCTCACAGTCAGCACTTTGTGTTTATCTCTTTCTCCTTTCGGGGTAAAGCAACCACCCAACTGATCCAATAATTGGCCCACAATTAGCAATTAACCTTCAAAAACAGTTCAAGCTCAATCCTAACCCCACTTCCTCCAGATCATCTTTTTTTTTGGGAAGCCTATCCCGCAGCTTTCCATTCTGTCACCATTCAAGCTAATATAGGCACTCATGAGAGTAGATAATCTTTTTATCCAGGTCAATTGAAACCTCAAAACTGTGATTTTGAAATTCCTCAGATGGGTGTGAGGATTAAAACCAAAGGCACAAGGCCACCTTTATATAATTACTAGGGTTCCAGCATCATAATGCCTTAGTTCAGCTCCTTCCTCAATATCACCTTAACTCGACCTACGTTATCCCGTCACACAAGCTCTCCAAACAACACCACTCACCCTATCCTCCAACATAAACTCAAAATGACCCTTGTTATTTCAGTTCAGGGCACACTTTAAAAGGCCATAAGTAGTAGTACCCTTCCTAAAACATATGTGCTCTATTTTTTTATCTTCATGCCTAATGTTAAGAACCGTGGCATTATTCTCCATTAATCTTGTCCAATCTCTCCAACCCTTCCTGTTAAGATTGTGCATACCTACAAACATTACAAATCAACTCCAGAACCAATACACAACTACCAAAACACTCACTTCAACCCTCAACGTTGTGTCTTCCCTTGTATTTGCCATCACCCTCCCGCTGAAATACACCCGACGTGCTAGGGTTAAGTTACCCTCCTCTCCAATCCTATCACTTTCTCTCAGCCTTAATCTGACCAGTGATCCCTTTAAAACATTTGGTTCCTCAGTTTACTGACAAATTAATACATGAAGTGCATAGAGTTAATTACCTCTTCCCTTTCTCTTATCACTCTGATTAAAGGCCCCGTCTGTCGCTACAACATCACCTAATCCTGAGATGTGTAGTCCATAACTGAGGAAGGTTAAAAACAATGCCGGTGGATGCAATGCTACTCTTGTCATCATTGCATTTATCCGTAATGGACTCCTTGCCCCCTCACGAGTCCAAGTCTCCACGTACGCTATATAGATCCTTGAGCTAGTCTCAACCATTTGATGATTGATCCCGCAAAATATTAAAATGTAAGGCGGTGATTGTCCAGGCCTATGCCTATTTCCTGTGCCAGGTTGCTCCACCCCCAAAACATGGTATATTAAAGTGCCCCCAGCCCCCTCGTTTATGGCGCCAGTGATCCTTTTTCATCCACATATATTCATACTGATTGATTCTTCAAGCTTTAAATGAGTTTCCAAAACCAACTGAAATCCAATCCTTGATTACTGATCCAGAAGGTTTCTAAAAGATTAAAACTGACCAACTACACCAACGTCTAGTCCTGTTACTAAAAGAAGACTAAGTCTCCACTATTGTATAACACATGTAAGGAACCTAATTGCTCATTGTGTGAGAGAGAGTTCTTTCAATCCCCAGAAACACTGTCAAGACATTATCTTCTTTATTCTTTTAGCTTAATGTCTGCTATTTAACCTTGGCTGATATAATGAGTCTGGTTACTCCCATGACTATTGCCATCATCCTTGGGAGACCATAACTTCTGGTCCTTATCATATTTCTTGTAATCTCAAATCAACCATAGTAATTTAATACTTGATCCCCTTCAAAACCCGGGGTGTGAGGAACAACAACGCTCAGCTTCCAGGTGATGTTGATCCTCTATCAAACCCGCGCGCAAGGAACAAAAACCCCTTGGCTTCAGGTGATGTGAAAATGTAATGCTCCCAAATTGAAAGACATTGATTTTGGGAGAAAATCGGGATAACTGTGAATAGTAAATAGGGTTTGTTGAATCATTGACCGGAAACAGTAGATAATGAAGTTCAGGTGTGTCATATTGTAGACTGGAAGAGGGAAAATAGAGGGTGGGGGGCCGGAAGAGGGAAGCGTGGAGGGGTGGGGGGAGAAGAGTGTAGAGTATAAAAAGGATGGGTCTGCTTCAGGGTTGTTGAGGCCCTCATTGTGGCAGATCCATGAATCCTGGCCAAAGACAAGAGCTTCAAGTGTATCGGGCTTGAGCTGGCTACAAGAATCACTAAGCACCCTACCTCCGGTTGAAAATGCCAACTCCAATGTGATTGAGGTCATCGGAATCATGAGAATAATCTTGGCCATCCGATTCCTGGCCAGGTTTGGAAATCAGAGAGAGTTGATGTTCCATCAGTTGAGGAGGTCAAACAATGGGGAGTCAATCTCAACTGTGGGTTCTTGTCAGCCACAGAGTACATGTCACAGTACCTTTCATGTACCAAGTAACTGCAACACCTGTACTTATTTACATAAGTACATATCCATGATGTTGTTTACCTTTACCTCTTGTTATCTTATCACTATTGGTATCTTATCTTATTTTATCTTATGATATTTTATAGGGTCTTAGTCAAACGACTCCCAAATATTGGAGTTCCGACTCCCAAATATTTGGGACGTCGCTAAGACCCCCTGCGGACGGTCCGCAGGCCGTCCACCCCCGGAGATGGGAGTCGGACCTCCCAAACCTTCAACAGGTTTGGGAGTCGATCATCCCAAGAAAAAATAAAAATAAAAAGATGAAAAATGGAAAACCCTGGGGGTTTTTGGGAGTCAATCTTCAAAAACCCCCAGGGAGGTTGGGAGTCAGCGCCAGACTCTCAGCGGCGGAGAGGAATCCCTCTCCGCCGTTGAGGAAGTAGACTCTCACCAGCGTAGAAAAATTCCTACCTGCTTTTTTAGAGTACTGTATCTCACCGGCCGAGAAGCAACGGTCTCCAGTGAGGAACGACTACCCGATCATGGTCACACGAAAAAATGTTACCTAGACGGATGATGCCACGCGTCATTTGTTTGTCTAAACTATTTCGCCCATGCTTGTCTAAATTCTAGATAACCGATTCGGGCAACTGCAAAATGG